TATACTGCTATGGTAGCCAATGTTTCAAATGCAGGTTTGTGAGTGTACTCATGTTTACCAATGGGATTTGGGATTTTATTCATGAGTGATGTTAAGGTGGAGTGCAACTTGGACCGGCAGATTGGTGTAGCCTCAGCAGTAATGCACTGTACCAGACTGTTATAGAGAAGAGAGAACCAAGATGTAATTTCAGTTATCTGCATTCCAGCACTCACCTACGGTCATGAAATCTTGGGAGTGACCAAAAGAGCAGGGTCACGAGTACAAATGACCAGTGATGGGAATAACGGTGTTATATGTAATGGTGGAGCTAAGGGGGCAAAACAATCACATGAGTGCTGCTGTTTGGCTGAGGAAGAATAAAGTAGTCGTAGTAAACCAATCACATGACCACTTCAAGATGACAAAGCAACAAGGTGATATATACCAGTTTTTAAATTGTGTTGATAGGCCACGTAAAACCAGAGTCATGATAAACAATATATACGAGTTGTGTTTTCCTGAATACTTTTACTTTCACGTTTACTGTGTAAGGGCAGCGCTAGCAAGCACTCTCTACATATGACCAAAAAATAAAAAAATAAAATAAAACAAAAAACAGCCCTTTCGTGTTGGTGGAAAAATGTCCAATATCGACCAATCAAAAAATTATATGGCAACATGACATTTGGTTGTTTAGGAAGAGGGGGAAGTTTTAGGAGTGACGGCGAGAAAGAGAGAGACAGAAAGAAATGAGAAACGAGAGGAAATGGAAATGAGAGAGAGCGAGTTTTGAGATGTGAGACATTTGTGACGTTTAGCGTGTTTGGAGTGTGTAGTTAATGTGTTGTCTTATGTAGTTAGTGTGTAGTGTAGTGGATAGTTTTGTGTTGTGGGTCAGAACAATGAGGCGACTGCTGAATGTTACAGGTGAAATTATTTTTTGGAGTGGCACAAATAATTTGTGTGGCATCTTATTGAATTCAGAACACCTGATTGTTATGTAAATAGTTTGAAATGGTTAGTTAAAAAAAGGGTAAAAGGTAAATGGCTGTAAATAACTTTGTTGTTTGCAAAACTTGTGCATATGATTTTGAAATTTACAATTTATATTTGCATTTAAAGTTATGAAAAACATGTTTGTGGTTGTTACAGTAAAAACTATAACTTTTTCTACTCGGATTTTATGTTTTTGTCTGATTTTAGATCAGTTTTGCTAATATAGTATGTCAAAATGAAAACATAACTGTAAATTCAGACACATGAGGTTGTGCTGAAAATGATGATACCAAACAAGGCAAATTAAATAGTTTTTAAAGGTGAAATGTAGAGGGAAAATCAAAAGTAGTCAAAAATATGCCAATTATATCCTGGACCCCAGAGGGTTAAATATTTTTTTTTTAAGTAAGCAATAGTTACTTTTCCTAGTAATTAATTACTGTTAGAATCTTGTAACTCATTTACTAACTCAGTTACTTTTTTGAATAAGTAACTAGTGAGTATAATTGCCCAACTTGCCCAACACTGCAAATGACTAAATTACTTTCCTCTGCAAGGTGGCTGGACTCAGATTTAGAGCTAGGATTAGGAATTAAGACATTGGGATAGAGCATAGAGTAGAGCTGTTTCTTAAAATTATTATCTCCACTGGAGACAAACTAAGTTAGCAGTGTCTGAATGCATTTTCTCCAGATTCTAATTTTGCCACTGTTCATACCTTGGGAGTAGGATGAAGACCCCTGTTTTCAGATCTGTACAGAGTTGTAACCTCTCGGAAAAGAGCCAGCAGGAGGAACACTGTCCGATTCCTT